ATTGAAATATATTAATGATCATTATCATACTACAGTCTTTAATGTGCACATGAAGTCATCTTTTACTACCAAAATAAATGGAAGAAGCACTAAAAATTATAAAATTTTCATTTAAGCAGGAATAAGTGGTGAAGCAACCTTTCAATGTACAGAAGAATGAAGTAATAATTTCCATAATAGTACCTTGTTTGGAGAAGAAGCAATAAAGCAGCTCTTAAATTTATTAATTAGAAAATCAATATGTTGTCTCAGTTCTGGGATCCAAAAATCTTGAGATGAAATTGTGTTGGCAGGTTTTGCTTTTCTTATGTTTCACATCCATGTACACTTTTTTTACTATAGGCTCATATACAGTCCCCAGGCTCCTACACAGATCAAATTTGTCATCAACGCAAATTGTTGCATAATGGTTCTCATGTACCTTGCAAGACTAACAAAAGAAGTTAATATACTTTAGGGGAAAAACCAAAGGAAGAGTACCCAAAAAAAGACTATGGAGCAGTTACCGGCTTTACATTATCATGGGGTGATGAGGGGAAGGAAGGTCTCCAACATTGCATTGCAGAGCATCACCCCTCCATTCTTTAGGACCATGCCTAGCATACATTGAGCTAATCTCATAATTAGCTTTCTAATTGTAGTGGTATTTCACTAATAGATATGGTAAAAAAATTGACCTTCATTGGGGTTTTATTAATTGAAGGACCATTCCATCCAATTTTCATTTGTTGGAATATATCTGGGAATCTGAGCTGTCTAATTTTCAATACCTGGGGCCTGGGGGACAGTTTGTATTCAGTTTTCAATAGTTGGGGGACTACTCTTAACAAAATTGATAATTAGGAACTACAAGTGAAATAACAACTTATTTTGGGACTTAAAATGCAATTAGTTCATAAACACTGGTTACTGGTTAGCAGTAATTGTTGATTAATGGACTAATCATGTTTTTGGTGCTTTGGTAAAAACTTAGCCACTTTGAACTTATTTTTAAAAAAATAATTAATTAAAAAAAAAAAAACATTCTTTTCGTGGGCAATTCAGCTGGACCCAATTATTACAAATCAACACTGCTTAACCATTTCCATGTTTCCTCAAGTTTTCTTTCATGCATGACATTTGCTGAAAAACAGCAAAGTGGATACTTATTTAGTCCAATCCCTTGGAAACAACTATTATTAGAACAACCAACCCTTTCAGAGTAATAATCACAGAACCTCTATGATCTGACTCCTGCTTCATCAGCTACACTTAAACCTAACAACATCGAACCTCACAAGGGCCATCCCAATTTTCATGCTCTGCCACTAAGAACTAAAAACCACCATAGAGAATTTACCATTATTACTGTAAGCAAGTAAATTCAATAAGTCATATTGAGGATGACAGGAAAGGAGAGATTCATTCACTGGGATGTGAAGAGGAATTACATTGCCAAGAATCACTTCTCACTGGGCTAACTCTGGATCCAATTTAAAGATCAACTATGAAAAAACATGAGTGAAGACTGCATTATAACCAAAAAGCTAGGTTCAATGAACACACTATAGAAATAGGGCAAATCACAGCATAGAGAATCACTTCAACCTTAATACAGGAAGTCATTGCTTCACCAGATGTCGAAAGGCAAGTGGTCGGCCCAGGTGCACTCATACATTTGCCCAAACTAGAACATAAATGGAAACATTAGAAGGTGCCTGAAACCATGCTAGAATGCAAGCAGTAGGTGACAGTTCAATTTGACCTTGGTTGCGAAGTCCTTGACAAAGCAAAGGACTAAAGTAGGGCTAAAATATATATTTTTTCTAAAACACCCCAAAATACACTAATAGGAACAGTACACTTATGCAATTCTAGACCATTAAATGACAATTGATGGTGACACTCCAATCCTTCCCTATATATTCTCTTCAGAAATCTTCATTCTAAGGCCATTCTACACCTCTCTATTTTCTTGGAAAAAGTTGAGAACAAAAGTAGTAACAAAAATCCCAAAAAATTCCCACAAGGAATTTCTTTTCCCAATTCATAGGCTAACCCTTTCCACATACAACCATCTTGTGAATACTTAGAAGAATGAAGTCACCACCAGTGGTATTCACCAAACAAAAGACTATGCTCCTCAAGTTCATTGTTGTTATATTAGCTGGTTGCAGTATTAAGAAAAGTAATTTTTGCTGTAACTATCCTTTTGCCACCCCTGAAGTCTCCCCTCATTCAAGTTTCTCAGTGATCCATTCATCACTCGAAGAGTTAAAACTGGATGGGTATCTTAACTTTACAAACATTGACCATGCAGCAAAGGACTTCGGAAATAGATATCATTTCCTTCCATCAGCAGTATTATACCCTATGTCAGTTTCCGATATCTCTTCCACCATAAAACTTATTTATGATATGGGTACCAGCTCAGAGATAACCGTTGCTGCAAGAGGTCATGGTCACTCTCTACAAGGCCAGGCACAAGCTTATCAAGGAATAGTGATTAACATGGAATCTCTTCGTGTACCAAGAATGAGTTTCCAAGCTGGGGAAAAGCCTCATGTTGATGTGTCTGCTGGAGAACTTTGGATAAATGTGCTGCATGAAAGTCTTAAATACAAACTAGCACCAAAATCATGGACTGATTATCTTCATCTAACAATTGGGGGCACTTTATCAAATGCTGGAATCAGTGGACAAGCGTTTCGTTATGGACCACAGATCAATAATGTTTATAACCTTGAGGTAGTCACAGGTATGTTCATGCATTAGAAAATAGCTTTATTTTTCCAGATTCACAATTATAATATACGTATGCTAAACACATACAAAAGAAACAGACACTAGTGCCATCGTGTCAGATGGGACTTTTTGTTCTATAAAATTGTTGATTTGCTGGTAGTTCGGTCCTCCGTTATTTTATTTCAGAAAGTGTTGTGTTTTCCCAACACTCAAAAAGTCAATAATGAAGTGATTTGAATTGTGGGCTGCAGTAGCTGCACACAACAGAATTTACAGCATAAATCAATGTCGTTATCAGATGTCACTTTCTCCTCTATTCTACAGTATCCTTTGATTACCCAAGAACATTTTTCAGACAAAAAGTAGGTATTAGGAGATGGTTTTTCACCACTACTTGTCATACTAAATATTTTATTAACAAAATTCATTAATAATAGTATTCTTCCTCTAGGAAAGGGAGAAGTAATTACATGCTCTGAGGATCAGAATGCTGACCTGTTTAATGGCGTACTTGGAGGTCTAGGACAATTTGGTATCATCACCCGAGCAAGGATTGCTCTTGAACCAGCACCCAAGATGGTAACTTAATGATTTTGAAATTTCCATTAACTGCAAAGGTCAAGTTACTACCCAAAAGGGAAAGTATGAAAATATTAATGCAAAAATAGATTACAAAAATCAAAAAAGAAAAGACAAGAAAAAACACAACTAAAGGTCAATAAGCAATGTACATACTGGCAGGTTAAGTGGATCAGAGTGCTATATTCAGATTTTCCCACATTTATCAGTGACCAAGAACACCTGATATCATCCGAGGATTCTTTTGACTATGTTGAAGGATTGGTGATAATAAACAGAGATGGTCTGCTAAATAACTGGAGATCTACTTTCACTCCTAAAGATCCAGTTCAAGCAAGCCAGTTCAACTCTGAAGGAAGGACACTCTTCTGCTTAGAGGTTGCCAAATACTTCAATCCAGAAGAGGCTGATACCATGGATCAGGTAGATATTCAAAGTTCAAAATGGCTTCCAAACCTTACTGTCTTTGAGCAATTGTTGACCTAAATTTTGGCCTTTGTTATCCAATCCTGCAGAAAATTGACAGTCTTCTATCAAAGTTGAACTACATTCATTCCACACTCCTCCTTTCAGAGGTTTCTTATGTGAACTTTCTGGATAGGGTGCACATCTCAGAGATGAAACTCCGGGAAAAAGGGTTGTGGGAAGTCCCTCATCCATGGCTAAATCTACTTATTCCGAAAAGCAAGATTCATGAATTTGCTACAGAAGTTTTTGGAAACATTCTTACAGACACCAGCCACGGACCCATTCTCATCTACCCACTCAATAAATCAAAGTATCATGGCTTGCTTGTCTGCTACTTATTTTTTTTATTTTTTATTTTTGGTCTGTAATCTCAATATACTTTCTTATTTCAGGTGGAAAAATGGGACATCCCTGGTCACTCCTAAAGAGAATGTTTTCTACATTGTAGCATTTTTAAATTCTGCAATACCATCATCACCCGGAGGTAAAGATGGAGTGGAAGACATTCTATCTCAAAACACGAAAATTTTAAATTTCTGCGAAAGGGCGAAGATTGGGATGAAACAGTACTTGCCCCATTACAGCACTCAGGAGGAGTGGAAAGCCCATTTTGGAAGCCAGTGGGAGGTGTTTGCTAAAAGGAAGTCCCTGTATGACCCTCTCGCCATCTTGGCTCCTGGTCACAGAATTTTCAACAGACTTGTAGCCCTTCAATCACCATAATGATCGGCTTCGATCAGAAATAATCACTTAATATGTATACCTCTTCACCTACATAGATGAACACTTCTTCGAAAGTGTGTATGGGCAGAGGTACAAAATAATAGAGTTAGAGAAATAGTAAAGCAAAGCACTACCACGTCAATGCATGTATCGATCATCGTTCTACCATATCGCACGAGAATAATGTCTTTCGATTTGAATATTCATTCATTCCAAGGGTTGAATCGTTCGTACCTTGAAACGAGAAGAAATTGCATGGATCCTGTACGTCCTGCCTTTCGCCTCGCCTCGTCTCGCCGCCCTTTCTGCGAAACGTGTAAGGTGAAACAATGAAGAGGAAGACACGTGTTGATTACACCGCACCGCCATGCCCGAGCCTGTGGTTATTGCCGCTTGGAGGGGATATCCTGTAAATCGTATTCGGACTTGGAAGACGGGAACGAATATGGTTTTCTAGGGAAGGTATAGTCTAGACTTTAGAGTGGTAACTGCGCTAAGTATGAGAATTTCTGAATTTGTTGATAAGTATGTTGGTAAGTATTTTCATATATGTTTATCATCTGTATCTTAATATATAATAGGAGTGGTCAATTATACATGCAAAATTAGCTAGAGTTTATAGAAAATATGCCTCAAAGGAGGAAGGCTAATAAACATTAAAGAGAAACAACGATTAGTAACTACACAAAAGCTATTTGCCTTCTTTCCCTGTTTCTTCCTAGTAACTTTTGGCAGGCCTTGCAAAAACTCCTTGTGCCTACAGATGTGCAAAAATAGTACCACATTGCTGTTACATATCGCCATCTTTACTTTGCAGACGAAGGTGGAGAAGTTGTTCCAGCTGCGCCTTTTTAAGACTGTACCATCTTTTCAACTTGTGTTGTTTTGCAATGGCCTGGAGTTGGGTCTTGGTCATATTCTTCAGGTCTGCAATACATCCGGATGGAGAAGAGGGGCAGCCTGTGTCTTGAACATCTTTAGAAGTTCCACGGGACTTGGTTAACCTCATTTGGTAGTCCCTCAAGTTTTCGTGCTCTTTCATGACTGGCAAGTCCAGGCATGTTTTACTTTGTGGAGTAGAATCAACGCTCTTGGACGCGACCAATGCTAGTGGGCTTTCGTACGAGTTCTTGTTTCCCAGGTCGGTGTTGGCAGGCTTGTAACCACTCCCAGGCTTGCGCAGCTGCTTTTTTAGTTTTTTAGGAGGAGGTGATTTTAATCCCAATTCCTCAGTAAGACATGGTTCCCTGACCATGTTTGCATATAATGTCCATTCTTTGTCCATCTGTTCCCAGCTTCTTAACTGCAGAGACAAACTTGAGTTGGACTCGGGCAGAGCTGTAACTCGAGTTTTGGGGGGATAGTACTCTGGCAGTTCTATTTTTATCTGTGTTTTTCTCTCATCCTTATCCTTCTGGTTGAACAGACCCAACAATGACTCCCCAACACTCTGATCAACTTCGCTGAGCAGAGCCCCTTGTCCCTTTACTCCCCAAGGAGATTCTTTGCTGACCATTTTTGTCTCCAACAATTGACTTTTGGTGTCTTTTTCGATATTCTGAGCAGTCGCCGCCTCCTTGTACTTCTGCTTCATGCTGAAGTCTTTCACTTCTTGTTTTATATCAACTACTTTGGATCCCTGAAACTGTTCATTTTTTAGTCAAAGTTTTAGCTCACAAACACAATACTTTTCATAAAGTAAAGGCTAGGCTCAGGAGACTGACTGAAGAAATTTTCAGGAATTCAGAATAGCATTGTTGAACAATTTGGTCTATTAAAGTATTAATCATAGTTAGAACTTAGACGGTTCTAACAAACAAAAGCAATAAGGATATATTCTCAACCTTAGATGTTTCTGACAAATCAACTCCTTTGACTTCTTCAGTTGTACTCGAGACAATGCATTCATGTGTGTTACTCAGCTCTTCAACTTTATCCTCACAGAAATCTTCCAAACCAATTTCGATCCTCTTTTTCGTTCGAAAGGAACAAGTAGAAGCTTCATCTTGTAAAGGCTCTGCACCTGAATCTTTTGAGATAGCATTTGTAACCTAATCATTGTCGGAGTAGCCAAAGTCACAATTGAGCTTACTACCCAAAAAAAAAAATTGATGAATTACAATTGAACATCATTCATGTGTGTAATTTGTATTCTCTCTACTGAAGGACTAAATCTCTAATTTTCGTATAGAAAAAGGACCGTGCCTACAACCTCCCACAGGATTTATGTGCATCTTAGGCAAAACATTAACAGAACAAATTAGAATGAAGTTTATGATCACCATTGGAAGTGCACGAAAGTCATTCTAATTACTAGAATTGGAAAGAATGAAATATGGTATTTGTTTTTCTTTACCCCCTCATCCACTGTTATTCCAGATCCTGAAGATTGAGAGTTAAGAGTCCTTTCAGCTGTAACAGATATCCCACATACTATATTAGAAGTTGAACCATTCAAAATCTTCTCCATGGGCTGGGTGCTTACCACTTTCTGAACATTTGAACAAGGACGGTTATGATCTGCCAGGGACACTTCATTCTGAAGGAGGAAAAGGATTTGAATCAGGGCAAAAGTAAGAAACAAATGAAATAAATCAATCTACATGAAATTAATGAGAGTATGCACAAAACAAAGAGAAAAATGCAGACCTAGTAAACAAATTACTAAAAAAAGTTGTCAGTTGATAATAACCCTAAACAAGCATGTATTATTTTTAATGAAGGTCCAAAAGGCAAACCTGCTCATCACTTTGGGAAAAGTGATCTTGTAACAGAGCACTTAATACTTCATGTACTCTTTCGGCAGGTTTTGGATGCATTTGCTCATTTCCTAAATGAAGCACACCATTCACATTTGCATTCTTCAAATCCTGTATTAATTTGTCAAGGCAAGTGATCTTTTGAATTAAAGTGGTAAAGCACATTGCATGCCACTTCTCATCAGCCAAGGCCAGTTCACTTTGCAACAACACTTTTTCTTCTTCAACTTCAAGTATCTCTGTGTCGGCTTTTGCAATCAACGCCTTTAGTACTTGAATACAAGATTTCTCATTTAATGCATCTTCCTCGATGACATCTACAACCAAAAAGGAATATACAGAGATGATATCATAATGCAATTGAAATGGTAAATCACAAGTTAATTATATGAATAAATAAATAAATAAATAAATATATATATATATATATATATATATATATATATATATATATATATATATATATTTTAAAAAAAAGATGAGTAAAAGGAAAGGGTGAATGTGAACTACCGAATTGAGGATTGAGGTACAAGTCATTAGGCCAACTATTTGCCACATAGAAGGTTTCATCTGAAATGTAAGAAAAATTAAACCAATAGATGAAGCTAAAGAAAATGGTCAGGACCAGCAGCATGCTAATTTAAGGACTTCTTGAAAGATCAAATTCACAGCCAAGGATTGGAAAAATTTTTATGATAAGAAGAACTCCAATATGTAATTAGAGAGAAGGTGAAACAACCTTGGCTGTATGGGCAATCCCAAATGGAAAAGTTCATATCCTCAGAAAATTTCATCCTGAAACATAGTCAGTCAAAATATTAGACAGGAGTTCCCTGAGACAGGCATCTGTCATGAACTTGCTAATTTTAAGGGCTAATGATAGTGAATATACTGACATTTGAACCCTAGTATGATGAAAAATAATACTGACAACTGAATATCTTTTGATAGTAAACTGCCAAAATCAAGAACTAGTGAGATCCAACTCGAAAATTCAAAAAACTCATGGCACTGATACATCAAAACCACAACGCATCCTAATTAATCCAAAATGGCAGTACAAAGAGAAAGAAGAGTTAATTAAGAATGCAATACAAGGAAGTATGTCTCGTGCAACATGCTCACGCCCATCATATGATACTGGAGGTTTTAATATTACATCCTGGAAAAACTCGAGGAAAAAAATGATTTCACCAAAGATGCTTCTCTAGTTAGAAACTTGTACTAACAGAGTTTAGAAGTGCATGCTACCTTGTGGTTTGCCTAGAGGAAAAGCAATGACTCAATGAGGGAGACCGTACTATTCAAGGATCAGAGGAGATGAAGTGAATGGTAACCTAACTTGGCAGCAATAAAGATTCAAGGATTTTATAGTGGCATTCAGGAACCTGGTGTATTTCTCAGAACAGCGGAATTCTCCAGTTCAGGATTATTTTATCAACTATGCCAAACCCCATTTCAGCAGCAACCAAAGAGTTGGCCAAAATTTTTACGAATTCCATATGAAATCAACACTTTCAGGATTAATCTAGTGGAAACTTCAATGGACTTTAAAATCCATTTAACCATGATTCCATCAAACTCCAGCCCCCGGCAGAGTCAACATATAAACAGAACTCGATGAATAAATAAAAATAGAGAAGAAAAAGAAAACAAACCACATTTCTACAAAAGTTGAGCCACAAAATAAAATAAAAAGATTTTGAAGTGCCTAAAATACATGAATATAAAGACCCAAACAGAAACATGTCCGTAAGTTCATGAAATAAATTGCACAAGATATCCCCGGCCCGAAAATACAAGCAAGCTAAGGAGAAGAAAAAAAAATTATGAAACAGTGCATTCCAACTTATAAAATTTATCAACGAAACAGAATAGTAGTAGAAAACAAAACTTGAAAATGCTTCCGAGATTAAGTTCCGGTTAACTCAAAATGTATTGTGTATATACGTGCATATATACCCACATACATGCATAGAAATGGGGGCTAAGCATATAAATGAATGAACAAGCTGAAATTAAGAGCTTTTGGAGCACATGCATAGAATCTAACAGAGGATCATACGGCTGAAATTCGGAAATGCAGCGTCTTAAGAGAACGCAAAGTGCAGAAAACAGCTGGAATTCAAGAGCTAGAGTGGTTCAGATTATAAACTCCGCACCTGGAAGCATAGAACCGGCGAGACTAGGGTTTGTGGCTGTGGCGGAGGAGGGCGGTTTTCCCGGATGAGAGCGGAGGAGGATGGCGAGAGCTAGACTGGTAGACTGGACTGAAGTGGGAGAGAGAGGGGTATAGACGTAAAGTTTGTACAAATATCAATCTGGGAAATCTTTTGCAGTTTGACGTGGAAGAATGGGGATAGTTTGGTCCCACAATCAGACCACCTATACGCTGACCTACTACTATTTTACTTTTCGAGGAGTAATATTTTTTTTGGATAAGAACTAAAATGTAAAAATCTTCTCTCAAATCAGTCGATCTCAATGGTTCTTCACATCCTGACCTGACACAGCATTAAAATGTAAAAATCTAATACGGTATTTGATTGAGATGAAGGAATTAGGAAGGAAAGAAATTGTAATTTGGTAGAAAAATAATGTGGAAATAAAATAGAAATTCAAATTACATTATTTGATATGAAAGAATAAAATTATTAAGAATGAAGAGGAAAAAAAAAGTGGTATAAATATTAAAATATCCTTATGTAATAATAATATTATTAACCAATGGTACTTTTGTCATTTAGTTTCTTTTTACCTTTTCCACAACCACCGAATTGCAATTCAGCAAAGTGAGATAATTGTTTTTTTTTGTTCCAAAGGAAGGGGTGAACCCCCAGAACACGAAAGACAAGCTCAGAAAAAAACCCCGTTATGACTGGGAGGTTCGTCGAATCACGGTGACTCGCAGTTTATCCAGACTACACCGTCCATCACCCACTGTGGGGCTTCACTGTAGATTTGAAGACCACTTTGGTGATTGAGCGCCACTGTTGCGAGGGTGTCGGCTACCGCGTTGCACTCTCTAAAGACGTGCACAAACTCAACTTAATTCCGGGATCTTTTTCACTTCTCGCATACCCCTTCTAATGATGTTGCATGTGGGGAGCTGCTTCTCCGACGTGCTGTTGAAAATATCCACGAGCTTTCTTGAGTCACACTCTATCACGAGCCTGCGCACTCCATACGTGATCGCCATACAGATGCCCTGCATGATCCCCCATGCTTCCGCCTCCATTGTGTGGCAACGTCCAATGTTGTATGTGAACCCGTTGCACCAATTCCCTTGCGAATCCCGTAGCACACCACCGCAGCCTGCCATGTCATTACTTTTGTTGCAACCATCTACGTTAAGTTTAAACCAGCCAGTGGCCGCCTTCGTCCAACCAACCGGAGTATCAACTGGAAGCACACGGCCCATAATCGACTTTCTTTGTTTTGCAAAGGCCGATTTGATCTCCTCATCGTATCAATTGAGCCACTCCAGTTTCTGCCTCGTCACCAAAGATTGCGACTGAAAGACCCCAAGCAAAATGAGAGAATTGTAATTCTCTCTAACCAAATACTGTAATTTATTTTTGCCATTAAATTACTTAGATTAACTCATCCTTCAATACTTGTGATAGAAATTGAAATTTTCTCTCATATATAGGGGGTGTTTGGAAAATGAATGTTAGCTTATTGAGTTAGTAGATTTGACCAATTATTGTTAGCTGATTACATACAAAATGACTTTTTAAAAAAATTGATAAAAAAAAAAAAAAAAAACTACTTTGAGCAATTTTTTGAATTTTAACATTTTGGAGCAATAAGTTATTACAAAAAGCTAATTAATCGAATTGTTTAAGTCAAACAGCTAACAGTGGCCAAATAAGCCAAAATTGACTGATAAGCGAGGCTAAGTATTTGACCAAACCCTAGTGTTTATTACATTAATGTTGATTATAGTTTTACTCAAGAAACCGACGATGAGAAGCAGAAACAGAAACAAGGACATGGTCACATGGTCAGTCAATAAAAGCAAAGGATACTTGGACAGAAAAACATTGATATACCCAATTTTTTTGTTTTGTTTAGGGCGGTTAGTTAGCTTCCAATATCTGAGTCTGATTGTACTCCAAAATTTGCTTCACACACACGTTTCCTGAGCCATATAGACACTGCCAAAGCAGATCAACAAAAATACAAAACAACCACAGCGCTGGTTTGTCTTTATCATCCTCTGAATTCTCAAGCCTGTCCGTCCGGGCCACCGGCCAAGCTCATGCCTGTCTTTATCCTCTCACTTCTCAAGCCTGGTCTGGACCGCCGGGCAGTAGGTCATAACCATTGTGGTGCTTGGCAGCCTCTTTTTTGACGGGAATCAACTTCAGAACTATGGAAATGATCATGCCCGCGGCTCCAATCAAGACGCTGAGCACCCAAAGTTGCCAGCTCAGTGGCACAGTGCTTGCGAACGTGCCCAGGAACTCGACGATGATGGCCTGGAAAACTGTAGTACAAGTCACGACGCCTAGGAATATCCAGCTTCCAAATAGGCCGCGGAACACATTCAACTTTTCAATGTCTCGGCTATTTACTTCATTGAAGAGCTGGAAGAAAATAACGATAGCCGTTAGGCAAATGTCATTCCAGATATGTCAGAATCTTTTATACCACTTGTTAGGATCAAACGATGGGTGCTGGACTTGGCCCGACCTTTAAGCCTTTTATAGGCCTCCACCCAATAATTCACAGTCACCGGGTGCTAGACTTGGCCTTTACTGGCCTCTGCCCAACAAGGTGTAAATTACCAATGGTACAAAAGCAATGAGTGTATTGAAGGATGTGAAATAAAAGTGGCAGAAAAATTAAAACTCAGCCTGAGAGTAGGAAAATACCTGACAGAACACAAAGGTATTGAATATGAAAGTATTGAGAACTGCATGGGCATCTGAACCTTCAAGTCTCAAAACTTGAATGCCATAGAAATTGAAGACTAGAAGGATAGCAAGCTGATAAATACTTTGGCCAATAATGTTTCTCCACATGGCTTTTGTGATGAAACTTACATCCCTTCCAACTGGAGGCCTATTCATCAGTCCCTCATGGGGTGGTTCTGTGGCCAATGCAAGTGCACCTAATGTATCCATTATCAAGTTCACCCACAGCAATTGCACAGCAGTAAGAGGAGCAGATCCTGTAATTAAAAAAAAAATCAAATCAAATCAAATAATTCGCTGAACCGGTATTCAAACCAAAAAGAACTAGCTAATACCTGAGATACACGCAGAAATAAAATTGATCATGAGAGCCACGACATTGACAGTAAGCTGGAATTGCACAAACTTTTGGATGTTTATATATACAGAACGCCCCCACTTAGCCACATTGACAATGGTGGTAAAGTTATCATCCAGGACAATTACATCAGCACTTTCTTTTGCCACCTAATAATGTCACTTATCAAGGATTAGGAAACATTGTAACTTCAATTTGTTGTTTGCAAACACAATCAAAATAAGATCTAACAAGAATGCAAGAATTTGTTGTTTGCAAACACAATCAAAATAAGATCTAACAAGAATGCAAGATAACCTTATTAAAAGTCACAGTAAAATACTTCCATTTTAATGAAGGCATTGGGTTCCAGGGTGATTGAGCTGGGCTATAAAGCACATGGGCCAAACCACATTAAAAGATTGAATTCAAACAATTAACTAGTCTAACCCATGGCCTTATAAACCCATATGTCCTCTCTTATTTTATCAATGTGGGATTCTTAACAGGAACAAATTCAGAATGCCAAAAGATACTAGCAAGAAGGAAAATTCATCAAGATTCGGGAGGCAAATGCATAGAAACAATACTGTGACAAGCAGCCTGAAAAAAGATATTCCACAACAATTACAGACCTCAGTTCCAGCGATGCCCATAGCAAGTCCAATATCAGCCTCGTGAAGGGCAGGGGCATCATTAGTACCATCACCGGTAACTGCAACCACCTCTCGAAACATGCCTCTTAAATTCTTCACAAGCACATGCTTATCCAAGGGAGATGATCGAGCCATGACCTGCATCCAAAATCTAAAATTTAGCAACGGTCTATGTACATCACACACAAAGTGAGATAACATAACCGATAGTTCACCTGAATTCTAGGTATTATTTGCCTCATCTCATCGGGAGTCTTGCTGCGAAATTCAGGTCCTTCAATGGCAAAGCCATCTTCAGTCAATATGCCACATTCTTTAGCAATGGCTTTGGCTGTGTGAATATTATCACCGGTGACCATTCTCACTCTAATTCCAGCTGCTAGACAGGTTTTTACTGCATCTTTGACCCCTGGGCGAACGGGATCCTTGATTCCTACCACCCCAATTAAAGTATAGCCACTACCTGGGATATTGTTTTCATGATTACCTTCAATGTCTTTGAAAGCCAAGCAAATAGTACGCAGAGCTTCACCAGCAAATTCATTGATGACACCCATAATATCTTCTGCCTGCCTTTCTGGCAAATCAACAATTTCACCATTGCCATCGAGGATGCTATTACACATTCTCAGCACAATCTCAGATGCCCCTTTGCAAAAAGCTCGGGCATTGCCATTTGGAAGTTCCACAAGAACAGACATCTTTTTCTTTTCGGAATTAAAAGGTTCAACTTTCAATACCTTGCATTCCTTGCGTTGAGTCTCTAACTCACCTCCCAGAAGCAACCCATATTCTACTATAGCTGATTCTGTTGGGGTACCCAAAATAGATCTATTTCCATCCTTATCCGTGACCACCTCAGCCCCTGTATTGTGAAAGATTGCCTGCAAAATAATGGCTAATACATTTTCTGATATTTCTGAACTTATGTTGTTGCTGCCACCTTCACCAGTTTCTATTGTTCTAACTTCTCCACAAATCCATGTTTTAGTGACCACCATATGGTTGGTTGTTAGTGTCCCGGTTTTATCAGTGCAAATGCAAGTAGCAGAACCCATTGTCTCGCATGCAGAAAGAGTTCTCACCAGTGCCTTGTTGTCCATTAACTGTTTCATCGCAAATGCAAGACTCAGTGTCACAGCCAAAGGCAATCCTTCTGGAACTGCAACAACGATTATAGTTACAGCAGTTGCAAAGTGATTTAAAAGTATAAGGGCATCAGCAGAAGACCAATTGGTAAATTCATGTTTAAGCGCTTTCTCGACAAGAAACCTGACAACCAACACCAGAAATGTCAATACAGCAAATCCCAGTCCTATTTTCCCGATAATTGTAGCTACACCATTCAGCTTAACCTGCAGTGGAGTCTCATCTTCTCCACTCTCACTAAGAG